ACGAGAAACATTGCGTTTAACGCTAAAAGCCGCTAATTATGCAGCCTACGAAAAGACAGAAAACAATGATAATCATTAGGTGCTGGTTACCACAGGTTTAACATACATATGTTAAAGGAAAAAACAGAATGCATTTCGCGAAGCATATTTAAAGAGAATTTTGTCAGAAAAATCGACAAAAACACAGAGAGACAGAGATAGATAGATGACACGCATTATGCACTTGGCCGTGAATTAAGCGGACGTTCAAAGAACAGGCGTAGAAGAGTGATCGATTGTCTGGCTTTTATATAAGACTTTTCGCTGTGTGGATTGTCGATTATTTTACTTACTAGATTCTTTCTTTTCATATGTGACTTTACCATCTGGCCCTACGTCAAGCACAGGGGAAACAAAGAAAAAAATATACTATATAAATGGTGGCTTCCCTACCGCGCACTACTTTTTTTACTATTTCCTTTCTCCTTGTTTTTTTCTCTTCTATCTATTTCTTTTTGTTCATCATAATTTATCCTTTTTTTTCAACCTTATACATCTTATATAATATTTATTGTCCTCTTTTTTCACGCAAATAAGTTTGCTAATATCCTTTTCTTTTTTCACACCAACCAGTGTGAAATATTAGTCTTTCGTGAAAGACCAATACAAGGTATTTTCATTACAGACATATTAGAAAATATAAGGGATCAATTTTAATTAGGCACATGCAAATGTTCATAAGTTATTAGAATTTAAGTTTGGTTACTGTTGTTACTAAATTTCATTATTAGCATATGTATATCATAATATTATCTGCATATGTCTATCACAAAATCACACATGTATTCGTACATATATGATAGAGAGGGTATCAGTCTCTCAAATATACAGGTAAAAACCGACTCACCTTCTTGCACGTCAATACCCTCTTGTTTCAGCAATTCACGCAACTTCTGAATCTCTTCTTTAAGTTCTCGGATAAGTTTCGCATTTGCATCTTCGTTAACGACAGCTTTGCAAACTATTTGTTTCGCTCTGTCTGCATATCTGTAGTTTGTCAAAGTAAACATAATAAAAAAAATTATTTTACACAATTGTTTTGTAAAAATAAATTACTAAAGAAGGAAAAAATATATAGAAAATTTTGCGATTAAATTACAAAGAATTTCGTAAGAATTTTTCACAAATATATATATAGATATTTCGAAGACTAATCAACTAATAAAGAAGAAAATACAACAGTGAAAATTACAAGGGTAACGAATAATTATACCGTAAGGTGGAGAGGGTCTCATCGTAATTGATGTCCGCGGGGCTCACTGCTGCAATCATCGCTGTTTTAGAATTACCTCCTAGATTTTCTCTCAAGAGCCATGTTAGAACTGAATCTCTATAAGGGATGAAATCAGCTTTCTTCTTCTTTTTAGTTGCCTAGACGAACAAAGTAAAATCCTTCTCATTTATTGTTTTTTTTTTTTTTTATGAAAAAAGATTAGGAAACTAATATTCAATATTTAATTTGTAGTAATTGAATTAATTGTTGAATTAAGAGAAAAATCATTGATATATGAACTTACCGCCTAAAAATCCATAACGAGCAATAAAATAAACAAAAGATACGGATTTTATTAATGTGAAATTTAGGTAGTATCTAAATAATTTTGAAAAATCAAGATTATACGACTTTCATACTATATAAAGCTTATGTAACATCAGCATGAACATTTGTTAATCACGCGAGTATTTTGTGTATGGAAAATAGTCTTCATATTTTTACAATGTATGGCTATATATGATTATGGTAGTGTAATTAAAATACAAGAAAATATAAATTTTAAATTATCTTGTTACTATAAACTATTATTTTTTATAGACGAAAAATCTTGCTTACAATTTCAGCAAGGGCACTGATGACTTTTCCCAGGGTTGTCAAGCTTTTATTAATATTGGCACCTTCTTTTAACCTTGTACCCTTTGCACCAGTAGAATCAGCTCTTTCAGAACCTGCCAAGTCGACCAAAGAAATTTTACTGACTTTTTCTGTCACTAATCCAGTTGTAGAATCGTGCTTTTGTTGCGTGAAGAATATTGTAAATACGGCGTGAGATCTGCTGGATGTCTCATTCATATTTGTGGCTGCTACCGTTCTAGAACAAGAGAAATATATATATATAAATGTAATAAATAATAAAAATGTCATAACATCGAAGAATAAAGTCAAGTTAAAATAATTAAAAAATTAAAATTACACTGTTGTTCTTAAATATATTTTACATAAATATTTACACTACTAATATATATACTAAAATTAATATTGATCTTTCAGCTAATCAAGTGCTTTAATTAGTTCAGGTTAGATGTTTTTATTAATTTTTTTTACTTATTGTACATACCTCGCTTTGTTTCCTTCGTCGATAAGATCATGAATGTCTTGATACGACATCACTGCCAATTTTGATAGATCCTCGACATACGGTCCAAGTAGAGGGTGCTCTCGTACACGAAGATTTCCCTTGTTCTTGGGGTTTAAGAGATCGCGTACCCTTTCGCAATATATTTCCATGTAACTTACTTCCACAGAATACTTCAGGCATTCATTTGAATTGCGACTAATTTTTCTAAAAAGGTCCTTGCAAATTTGAGGTATTATACCCTCTTGACCTTCTTCTTGTTTGCCCATCATGGTGTACGATTTACCAGCACCGGTCTGCCCGTACGCAAATATACAGACGTTGTAACCTACATGTAAACAAAATTATCGTAAAAATTAATCATTAATTAAATTTTTATTCACATCTGGAGACAAAGTTTGAAATCACTAATATCTATAATTGATAATGTATTCCTAAAAATTGTGAATAATATTAAAAATTATAATAAAATTCTCTTTCAATTATCATTTATCATATAAGAAATCCAAAAATACAAAAGTACGATGTTCCCAAATTTTCAGACAATAGTATATTCGTGAATACATGTCAAGAATGTATGAGAATTCGAACAGCTAATTCCTATCCAGATGGTATGGCGGTTCCTAGACGTAAATTCCGCGGTATGCGACAATTCGAGTACACACGATGTCTGAAGTATTTGAGAAATTAATTGTTTGATTAATCTCTGCAAAATCTCCAATTTGCGACATTCTCACCTTCAAAAGCGTGCTCCAGCATCTCCTCGCCGATATCCTTGTAGACCATCAGTTGTGAAGAATAATTTGTGTCGTTTGGCTATGGCATAGAAAATAGTCCATTACTATGTTTGCGATAACGTGATAAATAATCGAATCCACTCGTATCTTTCTATTTCTAATTTCCATGATCTTAATCTTGTCAGTAAAGTATATGAAGTTAGTAAGATTTAGTTAGCAA